CATTCATTTTTTAGCTGGGGGGGTGGGCCGGAGGAACTGATGTCTAATTCCATGCTAAAACTTGGAACCCCCAAGAGAAAAGTTGATAAAAAATTATGACCCCCTATTTTTTTACTGAAAAATTTTTTGACCCCTCATCCTAACTATTAATAATCCACACGGTGTCGTTTCCGTAGCGTTTCAGGGCCGTAGGAAGCTCTTTTTGATTGGGGGGCTGAAAGCGAGGGCTGAAGACCCGAGGAAATTTTTAAATCTAGAGTCTCTGAAATGCCATTTCCTGGACTTTGGGGAAGATTTGACAGAATTCTGATGGTCAGAAAACAGCGTTTTAATATGTCGAAATTGACAATTTGGTAGTACTAAATGGGCGAACACGTATTTAATTAACTATATATTGGATAACTAGGATAAGTTGCAGGAAACTGTGGGTACTATCTTCATTCTTTGCAGTTTGTCATGGATAATGTAGCCGCTTAAAATTAATAAAGCTTAAAATTGATCAAGGTCTGCATGATTTTGAAGTCATGCAGACCTTGAAACCATGCATGATTTTGAAATCATGCTACGGTCCTGCGTTTTCTTTCATTCATGTTTTCACACAAAAACGGATAAAAACGAGGTCAATTGACGAACGTCATGGAAATGTTTTCCTATGGACTGTGTGAACAGAGCGTCAAATGAATTTTGCTTCTTTGTTAAAGATGACGAGATAGTTTCTAGACCTTTTTACCATTCTTCATCCAAATATTTCCAAATTCTATAAAATTATATTGGTGACTTTTTCACTGATTATTTTTATGACCCGCTCCATTTATACCAAAACTATAAAAAGACACACCCCTTTGAAGCATGTCAAAATTGGCTGACCCACCCCCAAATTCCTCCGGCCCACCCCGCCAGCTAAAAAATGAATGCTCCCTAATAACAGTGTACCCATTGTGGTACAAGAATCAAGATAATAACAGTGTACCTATTGTGGTACAAGAATTAAGATAATAACAGTGTACCCATTGTGGTACAAGAATCAAGATAATAACAGTGTGCCCATTGTGGTAGGAAAAAATAGTAACAGTCTACCCATTACGGTGGATCCCATTGTGGTAGAGGCAAAAAGTAACACTGATCTCTCCATTGGGGTAGAGCCCTGTGGTAGACTAGAGCTAACCTGAGATCAGGCTCTATTTTACAAATATAGCCTGACACAAACCTTAATCCGATCGCTTTTCACCAACAGCAAAGTTTATATTTCGTATCCAATCAAAATGTCGAAGGACTCAGGAGAAATTTAAATTTCACACAATGACAACAATAAATCTAACTATAGTTGTGATCACAAAAAATATATCAACAACTGGTCATAATATCTAATTAGCAGTTTAGCACCAACCAATCAAATGATAGATTAAAAAATCTTCTCTCATAGACCAATCAGATTTAGAACCAAAATACGGTTGTAAGGCATGAACACCTGTTAAAGTTTGTACCAAGCCTATTTATTTATAGGCCTGATCACAGTAACGGGTAGAGCAATTCCAGCTTTTAATTTATGCTTGTAGGAAGTGACGGGAAGTAAGGTATCATATTGTTCATTATGCTGAAAAATTTCAATATTTACAAGTATGAGGTACCACTTCGTGTTTACATGGCCGTTATTTGTATTTTTTCAGCATAATCAGCATTCAGCAATATGATACCTTATTTGCCTGCACACACATAAACTAAAAGCTGGAATTGCCTATTCTGTGGTGCCTAATAGTAATATCTCATGCTACCAATTATTTTTTTCTTTAATTTTGCAATTATGATGGATGCGAATCATGCTATGTTAACTGCTGGATGAAACCAAATGGTTATTACAGTCAAAATATAATATGGACATATTACATTGCATGTACATAATAGGATGGGAGCTTCTGGATTAACAGAAATGTACATATTCCTATTAAATACAAGAATGCTGATTTACAAGCTTGTATGGATATATTCCGTCTAATGCAATGGGATGGATCTGCCATGCATTATTAAATTACCATAGTTGTTTCCAAAAGCTATTGGACAATAATGATGGCCAACAGTGGACACTCCAATATGTAGTTTATCATATTCATCATGTACCAAAAACAATGCTAACACTTGTTTACCAAATGAAAACAAACCAACGACCATCATTACTTGCAACAAACTTAATCGTATCACGTTAAAAGACATATTTGTTCTTCCCAATTCTTTCTTCAAGACATTTTCACTAAGTAATGATTTTTATTGACATTTAATGTCAGTTTAAAATATTGAAACCAAAAATAACATGACATTGTATAAATATAAAATGCCAAAGTACACTTTACACATATTAAAGGCAATATTAAATAAATAAAGCTTATTGGTATGATCAATCCCCAGGGCTTTGGGTTTAGCTGACCTTTTACTTTGTGCAAGCTGTTTGATATTCAAATTTCACTTTTCCTGCCTCCTGAACAGGTGTCCTAGGGGCTGTTTGCATGATGGAAGATGATTTTGATGTATTGAAATAAGTCACTAGGCTGTTTAGTAAGCAAAGGTTCAAATGCTGGTTAATTTAAATTAACAGAACTCAAATGTTGTAGAGAAGATCTTGTAGTTCAAGAACATTATTATTGCTGCTTGAACAAACTTTCGTTTACAGTATGAGGTGTTTTGCTGAATCATGAACCGTGACTTATTTCAATATATCGAAATCATCCTGCCTGATATCTCGTCCTGGCAAAGCAGTATATTATAAACATCCCCTTATTCAGCCTTTCATTCCTTGGGGTGCGGCAGCATTTTCCTTGCGATAGTAACTTCTAGTAATAGAATTTTCTGGGTTGTGTCATGTATTTTGTGGGTCTTACATGAAGTACTTTCCGAATACGAAGCCAAAACAATTACGGGCTCAATAAAGTTTCAAAAATCAAAATGGTGGCCGTGAAATTATCAAAGGAAATTATCAGCGAAGAAAATGTGTAGTACATTGTAGTTCAATGGAGGTTTATAGTTTATAATGTCGAAAATCGCGATGTACATTTGAGTAATTTGCTAACGATATGGATGATTGTGGTAGTAGAATTAAGCAGCTGGAACAATTATTATCTGAATATCAAGACCGCTTGCAACTTGATAAAGACAGCGATTTTGCCGAAGGTATTTTAACTTAAATAATAATAGGCAAGGTTTCTTATTAAGTTTTGCACATTTTAATTATCACCACTGACTGTCTAAAGTAAAGTAGTGGCAGCCCAATGAGCCATTCCATTTAAAGTCCACACCCCCCTGGGCCCTGGCCCCCTGTTGACCAGGTTACTGATTTTTACAACCTTTTACCCAGGCTCATACCTTCGCACACCCTCCTGCTGCGGAAAGACTCTGGTTGGGCTGGTCACTTGACACCCCCAAATCTGGGGTGTTTTCAATTAGCATTTCAAGAACGCCCAGGGAGGAGTGGCAAGGGAACGATTGCCGATGCTGTCAAATGTAAAAATAAACAAAAGCAAAGGCATGCCTATATCAGCACACTTTTATCGTTACCAAAAAGATATTGTAACCTCGAGCGCTAATGTGAAAGAAACTACTAAAAGGACTGTATTAAATAATACAAATATTGTAGTGTGCCATCCAATACATGTTGACCGCTTTGTCAAAGTGTTTGCGAAGCCAAGCAGGGTCATCTAGTCGAAGTTTCAACCCTTTAGTTTAATTCTCCCTTCTTTCTCCGCCTTCGTCTTTTCGCGCCCTCGTTCTTACTTGTCAGCGATCATCTATACTTCATGTAGAGTGATGTATAATGATTCAAGCAGTTTAAAATGTTTACAGAATTTTGAGAGAAGAAATAATTGATTATCAAGGGATTCAAGTAGGTTTTTAAAAATAAATACAATATTATTTCAATCATAACTCATACTGGGGCCCCCTGTGGCTAAACAAACAATGATTGAATTGTCGTTCTCACCGTTGAACTTGAAATGTTATTTTTCAACTCGGGAGTTGACAGCTGTGATGTCAACCTAACACGTCGAATTTGTCGCAGCACTTTAGTCTGTCAAAGCATGTGCGCAAAACTCAAAAGTGAGATGCTCCACACGAATGTCTGAGACATTCCAGTGAAATGGAAGAAAGCTGGATATCAAGCATTACCGTACTAAAGAAGCTTCGCAACTTTTAGAAAAATTGCTTCGCAATTTTACGCAATACTCAAAATCGCTTCGCATTTTGCGATTTGCGAAGCGTTAATTCGGACCCTGATTGGTACAACAAAGCCAATTTCCAATTTCTTGTTATGGCTGAAACAATCTACCATTGCGAACATTTTTGTGACGATGAACTTCCTTGCCTGATCTGCTGACCATGCGAATAAAGGAGGTTAAACACTACTTCAAAGCGTTTAATATTAACACGATGGTCTATAGTTTATACACTTCAGTACAATATATAATACGTATACGCTAAATGGTCGCACGTCACGATAAACATACAAGATAATATATTTCTAGATTGACCAGTCTATCCTGATACTCAACCCAAAGGATTTATTTAATAATGACTAGAGCAGGGCTCGAAACTTGAAATTTTTGTTAGTATCCAAGTGGATACCAGCATCATAGAATCTAGTATCCATCCTTGAAATATAGTAACCCAGATTTGGATACTAGATATTCTATTTCCAGTATCTAAGCAAGGCAAAATTTTACCTTGTAACCAGGCCTTCAGTTGCTGAGCTAAAACCAGGCCTTTAGTTTCAATAATAAAAATATGTATTGAAATTCGAAAAAATTGAAAACAACACACTGCGGCGATACGAAAGAAAGCACCGTTTGTGTGTTTTTTTTTGTTGTTTTTTTTAATATTCTGCCAAAATCCGTAGACATTGAAGTTCAGAAACATGCCAAACGTCTAGATGATTATCTACTATCGCAATTTCTAAGTTTTCCTAGTATCCAATTGGGATACTGAGCTTATGATACCCAGTATCCAAAATTAAAATCTGATATCCTGTGGATATCGGGATACCGCAAGTTTCGAGCCCTGCTAGAGGGATCTTATAATTTCCGAAATATCGCCAATTGTAAACTTTGTAACAATATTTAATACTGTAAAGACTGTGGCGTGTAATTGGGTTGTTCCAGAAAAGATCCATACTCCCCCCACGGAGGAAATTTCTGCCGTCCGGAGGGGGAGGGGAGAAAAAATTGGTTCTGATAATAGTAAATGTATTAGGACATCTAAATGTATTAGGGGTAGGGGGGTTAACTTCCTATTTCCTCCGTGGGGGTGGTATGGATGTTTTCTGGAATGACCCATTTCCTGTTTTTGACTTCACTGAAATTCAACGATCGAGAAGTATGTCGAAGTATATATACCTCTATGTTATCAAGTCCACGGTAAGATAATAGCACAACAGCCAACAACAGCCCTGCCGGCTACTCAAAGGAATAACAAGTACAGTGTCTACATACTAATTATACGGTATATAACTCAGCCACAGAGACTCGGCCTGTTTCTCTGATATTATATTTATAGACAATACTCAATAGACACCGCATAATATATATATAAATTTGATAAACAGCTTGAATTGTGACATTGCCATTGGCTTTACTGTGATCGATGTTCTTTATATTATTTTAAATTTAATATAAATACAAGAGTATTTTTATTTTGTAAAATATATACGGATTTATATAAAAACATGCTGGCATGCTAGCTGCTGTGAGACGCTGTTAATATAGTAGATATCGATATATATACATGCAGTATAGTGTTAATATTGTATTGTGTAACGAAATATATAGTCTATAGACTATACATTTCTTTACACTACACAATATTAACACTATACTGCATGTATATAGCCTACTCACTGTATATCGATATCTACTATTGTGTCTATTTTACTAGGGAAAATACAAAAACATTTGCGATGTTTCCCTTCAATACATATTTTATAGTGTCTATGCCTATGGTAGGCCTACACTAGACTATAGATAAATGGCTTGTTCTCAACGAAAGCTTTAAAAATGTCGAATATAGCTACCGAACTCTAAATGTTATGTCTATCGTGAGTATGACTGCATGTGCTTATATATATATATATATATATATATATATATATATATATATATATATATATATATATATATATATATATATATATATATATATATATATA